ATATTATGTCCTTTATTCTAACACTGTATTTACTTTTCTTTGATGATTATTATATATATATAATATATATATATATATAATATAACATATATATAACATATATATATATATATATAACCTATATATATATATAGGCCTATATATATATATGTAATTTTAAGTGTACCGCACAACTCTCTACCTATAGCATTCTCTTAGTATTTTGCATCCATTGAAAGAAACCAATTAATTTCATCAAAGTCATACACATCCCCACATTTTGTTTTTAGTTTCCAGAAATATTCGCAGCCTACTACGACGAACTGTTCATTTACACAAAAGCAATGGAGTGTTTCAAGAGTTATGAATCGTCAATGAGTGTGACGCCGGATTATGTCGATGATTTTAATAAAATAATCACAAGAATAGACGAAGTACGAGCTTATATCCAAACCTATGTAAGTAAAATCAATGACTTTAATGTTAAACGTCTGTTTTTAATGTTTTGTGTAACTTTAAAGAAGTAAACAATGGAGCAAGCCGTTAATGTACCGGGTACATCCAATTAAAGCTGCTTCATTGTAATAGTTATACACTGTAAAAACAGCGTGGATGATTTAAACACAAAGCTCCACGCAATTTTGTCCCTCTTTGGTAACACGTATAAAAGCTAAATGTGTTTAGGTATGGCCTAATCTTAGGATTCTGACGTGTTTAGCATATGTGGTTAGGTACGTAGATTATCTCATCATGTCAAATATCTGAACACATTTATTGCTAAACACGTCAGAAACCTAACCACATCCTAAAAGGGGGATGCGAGTTTTGTTTTAGAGTAAGCAGGTCTGACGATATTGATTAACTTACTCCATTTCATGCGATGTGAAATACAAAGTAATCATTCTTTATTTTCTAGTTAATTGGTGAAGGCAAACAATCTATGATTGGCGAGTCTGGTGGAATTTATTTGGCGTGCCGGAACTATCCCAACGACAGAACCAAGAATTTCATGATGGTCGCAACAATGGAAAACTTTAAAGACTATATACAAATCTTGGAGAACGACGCCTTAGGACTGTATAATCTCAAACGAACCAGTTAGAATCTAGAATGTAAATATAGCTATGTTGAAATTCTGGGTGATTACGTCTTACACGTGAATCGTATAGACGAATGACTGTTATGATCAAATTTAATATTTATATTCAGCTAGTGTGTGAGCCACTCGCAACTGTAAAAAATTTTCTGTCCAAAAATGGCGTACGTCTGCATAATGGCATATTGTACAGATATGTATATTTTGATGATTCTTAATTGTGAATCGTATAGACGAATGACTGTTATGATCATATTTAATATTTATATTCAGCTAGTGTGTGAGCCACTCGCAACTGTAAACATTTTTTCTGTCCAAAAATGGCGTATGTACGTCTGCATAATGGCATATTGTACAGATATGTATATTTTGATGCTTCTTAATTGACTTTTCACCTTTAATGATTCCTACTAATAATAGCGTCTTGACATTCTATGAATGTCATAGACCTATATTTTTGTATTTCAATTTGTATATAGAAAATATGTGTTACCAAAATAGCGTCGTACCCCATGACGAAAAACACACTTTAGGTTGAACAACGTGTTGCATCAAAATGAAAAATAATTCAGATGTACTGTAAGTTTATTTATTTTGTTTAGTGCGATGCATCATATCGGCAGACCGAATCAGTTCAACTTTGACTGTAATAAATCATTAATATGCGTGATAATGCATACTTTTGTAACCCGATTTATGTGGAGAATAGCAAAGATTATAATATAGCGTTTCCAAGAGTTAAAAAAAAAATCATTCAGAATAAATCTGAATAGTTATAAGTACTTTCTTATTGAAAGATAAACATGTTAATGTCAGTATTGACTTACTTGGTTCAATTACTTAGGACCACACTTAATAATTTTAAAATAGAGGGTATTTTTTCATATTTGAAATGTTACGGTAGTTAAGGAAAGCTTAATGTAAATGTAATATTTAATGTTAACTGTTTGCAAATGTATTCTACTTATTCCTCCAAGAGCAGCTTGAATAAAAACAATCCTGAAATGAATGTTACTCGATGTTGAGTAGGCCTACTTCATTTTAAATCGTATTTACACGACGAAGAATAGCTTAATGTTTAAACCATTGGTGGCGATGGTGATCTATTAATTTGAATCTCCATGTGTTACGATACGGCTCACAATGTAATACATACATTTACAACGATAAGTTACTAAAGAAAATACATAACACTCATTTCACAGGGCCGTCGCAACTCATCCGGTGCAGCACAGGATGGCTGGCCGCACCACTTTTTCTCATATATTTATTTTAACTCAGCAGAAACAGTTCTCTTTATTCTCGTACCCTCAAGTTATTATGCAATATTCAAATTCTCAGGCTATAGATCCCTGAATCTTAATAAATTTAGGCAATTTAATTTGGCCCGTGACGAAAAACAAAATAATAAACAGAATATTTAAAACATGAAAAAGTTCGATGAATATATTTTTAATAAAGACAAAAATGTAACTCATGGGTAATGTGCACGGGGTGGTTTTAAAATGAGCAAGATGAAATATGGGCCATAAATAAAATAAATAGCGGCAAAAAATCTATCACTCTGTGCTTTTCGTCGGTCTCATTCTTCACTGTGTTTCAAACAAGCCAAAAGCGCGTTATGATGTAGGGTTTACTCCGCTCAGATCTACAATTAAACCCAGTAACAGAAATATTTAAAAAAAAAATTAAAAAAAAATCCCAAGATTGTTAATTTAATTAGCTCTGCTAAAGTTAACATAGCAGCCCAGAAGTAAAAACTTTATCATAGATGTTAACATTTTTAGGATTGCGGAGTCCTGGTGCCTGATTTATGAGCCATGGTAGAAGCCCATTGTTAAAACGTAGAGGTAAAAACACAACTAAATTTAGTTTATTTTGCAATTCATCTATTGGGTTATTGTCAATAACAGTAAGCCTACTTAACTTTACATGATAAACAGTTTCATCGCTGTGGAACGAATTGCCACTCTATCAAACTGTCTCACACTATTGATTTAAGTTAAAACTAAAATCCCATCTCTTAACTCTAGTTAGCATTGTCAATTTTTCAAATCTTTCTCGTTGTACTCCCTTCGCTTTTGATCATTTATTTGAAATTAGCACATTATAAATATTATAATTATTATTATTATTTTTGAGCGAAATTTGCATACTTTTGTGCCATTGATTTTATTGTTTAATGGGCTTTTTAACATATTGTGTTGACTAATTGTATGGTTGTTTCCTTTGATTTTCGCCGCAAGTCAGTCAATTTTCGAATTTGTATTTTTAATATGAGTTTGACAATATATATATATATATATATATATATTTTTATCTCTTTTTCACAAACCTACAGGCACTGACTCCTTTTTTAAAGAATAATGAAAGAGGGAGTTCCCAACAATCTCCATTCTTTTTGTTTCTCCCCGGATTTGGAATTGTATTAACAATATTTAAGAAACTACGGATATCCGTGGATTCACAGTATCCTCATATAACTGTGTCAGGAGGATAGCCCTCTCATTGAAAAACACTGCGCTTCCGAGGGACACTACAAGACACCAAATCGAAGATAATAAATAGCAGAAGATAGAGCAGTTTAGTGGAACATCCGTTCAAAATGCATTGTGGGTACACGGAGAGCAATTTTACACCGTCCGCGTGGCGGCGCTTTATATCAATAATAAAGGCGCGGCTCAGGTTCGTTTGTTTCCTGTACTTTCTCCACTTAGTCTAATAGTCAAATTTTACCCCGCTCGCGGGAGGGCGGATGTTCAATCAATTTTAATTCAAATACGCGGAACAGCTCATTCTTCTGCTATTTAAGTTCTTTGACTAACTATACATGGAATAATTTGATAACTGTTGGGTTTGTTTCAAATAGTTTATAAAGCTATTTAGTGGTCGTAGGCTGTTGAAGTTGTTTTTTCATATTCTTTTTCTATATATTATGTTGTACTGTACTGTAATATGGTCAATCTTGATTCCGAAATAAAAGATTTGATTTGATTTGACATATATATTTATAGTATTAATATACAGTACTGTAATATCAATAGGCCTATTATCTAAGATTTTATACATTTATTTACGATCTAGTCCTATACCTTGTTTCATCTATTTATCTTTATGGGGGTGGGCCCTTGACTTCAGGGGCCCTGGTTCACTGAACCACATGAGCAGCTGGTAGATTCGCCACTTAAGAATAGGCATTCTGAGTATTGGTGGTGGGCCCACTGGATTGCTCACAAAATAGTCATCTACGCATCATGCTCTCACCATCTCACTCAGTATGAGAAGAGGTCAAACCTCATGAAAAATAATATCAATCCATTCTGGTGTATAAAATCTCTACCCTTACTGCTCACAAAAATCAATACAGTGTCACCAAATGGTCTGTATCAGCCTCTACAAATAATAACAGGGAGATATTGCAACCTTACGAAAATGGTAACGAATACGTCATTATCCTTATTGTTATTTGATAATGAACAAAACAGTCTTGACAATATGCTGAGCCAGCTGAATTTTAATTCATGTAAAAAGGCATGAATCTCCAAAGTTGTGACAAATATGCTACTGCGATGTAAGGATTGTCTAAAAATTTGATGACGTAACGGTATTCGTTATTGTTTACGTAAGCTTGCGAAAACTTTCCTAATACAGGTCTAGGGTTTTCAGTCTTGAATTAGAAAAAAAAACAACAAAAAAACATTATTAAAAAGATATGATAGGATTTCGTTTTTAAAAATTTTATTTTCCAAGGTTCAAAATTGTGCATACTAAAATACTCTGCATAATTACAATGTAAGAACAAAACAAAACCCTCTTAAAACATTAATGCCATTAACTAAAACATTTTAAAAACTTTTACAAACTACTATGCATATCATACAATTCAAAATCAATCTAACCCAGACCCTCTTGCCTTCCCCTTATCCGCCTTGCAAGTTGAATATCTCGGGGCATGACTGTAACACGCTTAGCATGCAATGCACACAGATTTGCATCTTCAAATATATGTACTAGGACAGCCTCTGCAGCCTAGGGGGAAAACAAAAATTAAATTAGAATTAACCTTTTTCAGGCACAGGGTCAACTACAGTGAAAATGAAATTAATTATAAATTGCAATTACTTTTACTTTTCCAATTAGGGTACATAATTACTTTTTTTTTCTTCCCCATTACCATTACATTTTCTCAATTAAAATTACAATTACATTTCCATTTTGATGTTTGGACAAAATCAATCAGGTGTGGGTTGAGTACATGGTTTAATTATTATATATGGCACAGGTGGACAAAGTGCGGTCCATGCGGCCCGACAGCGATTTCTTTTTGCGGCACACGAAAATGAATTAAAAATCCTATGTGTGCGGCCTGCCGAGCAACATTGGCTACAGAACACCTTGTATTTTACGGACCGACACTGAAAATCTTAAAAAAGTAATATTAAAACTGGGAATAAAGTGGTGTAAAAGCAATGCTCGGAGGTTTTTGGAAGTGCACTGGAAACATCGAAGTTTGGGTGCGGCCCTCTGTGTTAAATCAAAAATTCACTTTGGCCCTCGCAGGATTACTTTACCTGGGTTTGATGTGAGAGATAAATAAATAAAATAAATTATTATAATCCTTTATATAGAATAATGCTATCCTTTTAAAAATTATTCTTCTTGTCCCCCACCCCCCCAAATCTTTTCCCAAAAATTAGTTAATTTTATGCATGTTACTGTCCTTTCTTGTTCTTTTCTTTGCCTGTGCATAAGTCATGCCAAGACATCGGCTGTATATTTAATATTCTATGGTAGAAATTTGTTGCAATAAAAAGTATGCTGTAGATGCCATTGAAATGTAGCAAATACATTCAATTTCTGGTTCTCTATTCATCGCTAGGGATCCAGCAGCTGAATCTCGGGCTACAAGTACATTGTAACTAAACCAACGCCTAAACTGGTGACATCATAAACAAAAATATGTACTTTTCACGGTGGCTCGTTCCCAAATGAAATAGCCAAAGCTATCCAGAGTATTTTTTAATAAAAATGTTGTACCTGGAAACTGTTTGAAGACATTATTTTACATTTTATTAAAATTTCAAAAACCATTACTAGTTTTAGCTTGTCCATGATGTCCCTAATAGGAAAGAGAAGTAGTCTATGCAACATCTTTGACAGAAGCAAACTGAAATATTTCAGTCATATTTGCAGAAGAGAGGGTGATAACATTGAGAAAGTAATAATTCAAGGCTCAATCCAAGGAAAACGCAATCTCAGAGGACGAAAAAAGTTGAGATGGGCTGATGGCATACGTTCAGCAACAGGCCTATCCATGAATGAAGCTTACTGTCCAGCACAAAATCGATCATTATGGAAGGATGTCATCAGAAGGGTCACAACGGATCAGTCATGAACCAATTGACAAGAAGATACATCTTATTATTACTTTGATTACAATATTATAAAATGTTATGTGTGCGGTAATTAAGTAATTTAATAAAGAAAGGAATATACAGTACCTCTTGTATTGCCAAAATAGCATTTGCTTGCCATCGTAGGTCGTCATGTCCAAACATTGAAGCAATTTCCCGCACCTTGAAAAATATGCAAGAACCTGATCAACAA